AGATACACGTATTCGGATACACCCTTTCACTTGCCATTAAACCATACTCTACGTACTTTGTACTCCGTTCCTGGTACTATGATTTCAAGTTCTTTAATTAATTTTCCAATCAGTTAAATAATAAGGCATTATATAAAACTATGTTGGTTTAAACCTATCGTTAACTTACCAAGTATAAAAGTGACATTATTCATCGCCACTCTTGACAAGATCGATTTTAGTTTCACGGATAATTAAATCTAACGGATGAAAGTAGACAGATTGCATACCTCCAGTGACTATACCATTTATACTCACAGTAATTGAATCATTTAAATAAGAAAATACGGCCCCTCCACTATCACCGGTGGACGAAGTAAAACTTGCAACCAATAAATGCTTTACAGCAAGATGACCATGACCACCCATCGTAAAGCCATTAAATGATGTTACGAATCCACACGTAACCCCTGTTGTAGAACCAGATTTGCATACGTGAACGCCATGGCTAGATAATACTCTACCACCTTTGACAAGTAATTCTGGAAAGCTAGATGTGTTCTTATTCCTTATAACCGTTGATGGCTTGAAATCTCTATAATTTGTTATATCGATTAACCCAATATCAAGTGGTTGTAGTGTATGATGCACCATACTTCCAATAGTAATTCTAGAATTACCCTTTTTAATAGAAAAAAAAATATTTTCACGAGTATTATTACGACCAAAACAATGTCCTGCAGTTACAATATAATCTTTTCTTTTTTTTCTTCCCCAAAAGCCTGCTGAACATATAATATTAAACTTCTTATTTATTATAGTATCACCATCTGCAATTAGTACCTTTATATTGTCTCTTTTTCGAAATTGTCTGTCGTTTATGTTATTATTTATGTTATTATTTAATTGATTTTCACGAACCGGAATTATAATTGGATTATACTTTTCCACAGCTTTTAGAAAATCTCTATTGGGACCAAAAGCGTCAGTAGTTAACTCTATAACTATACCATTTTTTTCACGTCAATATAAGACACTACAGGGAACCTAGCGATGGCACCTGCTCGTAGCATTATGTTATCAAATTTACTATTTAAATCATCTATAGAATTGGTTGCATTTATAAATGAAATTACATCTAAATATTGTTGTATCTCTCGTTGTTCTATTATGGCTTGGACCATATCAAAGTCCACTGTATTAACAAATACTTTCTTTTCTTTTATATCGACGTAGCTTCCTCCAAAACTTGATTTGTGATGCACTATTAACCCTTGTACGGTTACATCCGCTATCACTAAATGTTCCTCAAGTCGCAATAGCTCGGGTATTTTAATATCGTCTACACCCCATAATTCCGCTAATGGTTCTCGTGCATAAATTACAGAAAAATTTATAAATGCAGAAATAAATAATAATAAATTTAATAAAAAGTAAATATTTTTCATAATAACTCGGTTTATACGTAAAGATAAAATTTAGTAAATATTAGATATTATTAGCAGATATTAATAAAGTTGATACATTGAGACATAGTTTTTATA